AATTAGCATGAAATCAGACTCGCTTTTTAGTCATAGCCTCGTAATAGGATGCTGGCCTATGCTTCAGCTCTCACTTCGGGTGCAGGGAACATTGCAGCCTGCTTAAAAAATTTCCTCTTTACCTGATTCAATCAGAAACACTTATGGGAGATCCACACACATTTCAAGCTTGGCAAAGAGAGTCAAGCCTTGGGGAGGGGGGAAGGTCTCAATCACACTCAGCTTTCAGTGCAGAGCAGATGGCGAACATACCGACTATATAATTTATAGGACACCATCACTACATATTAGTCCCATGCAGTGGCTGAGCTCAGCCAAACCACAGTTCATGCACACGCAGAGGGGACTCGCGTAGGTGATGCTCCACGTGCAGCCTGGGCAAGAGGGAAGAGCCAGCTTTTGGAGAAAGCACACGCTTCACATTCCATCACCTTCATAACACAGAGCAGAGGATGCAGAGCGGCAGCCCTCACCCCAGAGGGGTTTTCTCTCCCTCACGGGCCGGGCAAACACCTCCCAGCCTGCAAACTTGTGTTCGAACTAGGTCAGTATTATGCAACATCTGTGCACAAAGCAACTCCCCTTCCCTTCCCCGGGAGCAGCTCGCGCGGCGGCACGGCGGAGGCCAGGGCAGCCCAAGGCCGGGTGCTCGGGTTTGTTTGCACTTCTTCAGGGCCGCGGAGCCGGCACAGCCTGCTGTGCAGCTCGCTGGGGGTCGTGAAGCCCAAGTGGGGACGTGCACCACCACTGCAGCTCTATTTCTGCAGTGCCTGTGGCTCTCTACCCTTGCCTTTCACCCGGACACCCACGCCTGCTGCTCAGCACAACCAGGCAGGGATGCTGAGGAGGCGTTAAGGACCTGTAGGTGAGAAAAGGAAGGAGAATTTGTTCAGGGTGGCCAAGTCGGGTTATAACAAAGGAGCAACAGGACAGAAAAGATCAAAAGGGAACACCAGGAAGTAAAAATACTCCCTGCAGAGCAAGGTGAAGGCAGCTCCAGCCCTGTCTCTGAGGTAGCAGAGCTTTTAGCCCTCTGCATGGCTAAAAAGGAGCCGTAGACAGGTATGCAAGGCTGAGCTTTTAGAGGTGCCCAGTGTGTGGGCACAGAGAGACACTGAGCTATCCCCGGGCTTCCCCAGCTCCAATGCCTTTGATTCTCTGCTGCTTGGTGTAACAGCACGAGGCACTGAGTCACCCCTCAGTTCCACGGGGGAATGAGGACTAATTAGTTGATGCTGGCACATTGCTTTGAAGAGAGGTGCTCCGCTGCAGCACGAGCCACAGGTTGTTACGTACCGAGCCGAGTCAAACGCAGCCCTGGCTTCACATCTGTCATCTCTGGAAGAGCAAGCAAAGGAACCATAGCAGTGAGGGGAAAAAAAAAAAAAAAAAAAAGAATGTTCATGCTGGGGCGATGCCAACGCTGCCGTCAAACCTAGGAGAGCAGCCAGCACCGAGGTTCAGGAGAGCTCTGAGCTGACCAGCACAGACAGCAGTAGTGCCTCAAGGACTGCTGACCTTCAGCAAACACCTGAGGTGTTTCACCAACTGGAGTGCTGTGACGACATAGCTGGCATGGTGTCATCACCCTGTCGCTGCAGGATGGGCACACAGTGGGACCAGAGGCCTTCCACGGGAAGGCAGGAAAGGAAAATACTCCATGCTGCCAGAAAACACGGGATACCTCCTGAGGGTGTTTAGCGCTAGCTGGGCCTTTTAGGTCTTTCCAAGTGCTCACCAGCGTGCCTCTGCCTCACTCCTGCATGCAGACCGCTCTGCAGCACGGGTGATTCAGCTGGCCGCGGCACAGCTTGCTGTAGGGCAGAGAGGGTGGCACAGTCCGGAGGACAGAGCAGCCCCTCCACGTCAGGGCCAGGCTTCCCAATGGGCCGTGGCTTCTCTCTTTGTTTTTGTCCTCACCCCAGCTTGCCGCTCCTTCCTGTGATGCGCAGAGTCCCGGGGGCTCTCGTGCCCAGCCCGCAGCTGCACCTGGGCCGGCAGCAGGGATGCAGCCTGCGCGTATGTAAAACACGGGCTCCCTTTCACACACCGCTGACTTCCCTCGGCAAAGGAGGCGGCGGGGCGGGGGGGGGGGGGGGGACGACAGGCCCAGCACCTTCCCTGCCTCCTCGCAGAACACCCCCACCACGGGGGCGAGCTCGAGGAGGGCGAGGGAGGTCGGCATCGTGGGACGTGTCAGCTCCCGCAGAAGGAGCCCGTGGCAAAGGAAACTTGGTCCAGCACAGGCTGGGAGCCCGATGCGACTCAGCTGACAAGGATTCCGAGCAACTCCCATCGCTCCCAAGTCCCCTAGGCCCGAGCTCTCGCCCGCACCGGCTCTTCGCAGCCAAGACGGCCCCTCCTGCGCAGAGCCGACCCAAGGGGATGCCGTCCTGCCTCGCGTTGCCGTGCCGTATTAATATTTAACAGTGAGGAAGAGATCCGAAGGCTTTGATTTCTCCCGCTGGCCAATTCAAGGATAACTGAACTGTCCAGGGAATTTCAACGTTTCAGAGGGTGGTTTTGTTCCAGTTCGCACCAAAACCCAGCCATGCTGCAACGCCTCATGAGGAGGATTGCAGCCCAGTTTCAGGCAGCCTCCCTGCCTGCTGCTGAGTCGGGCTGGTCAGCAGCACAAAACGCGGCTCATCTCAGGAGATGCCCAGCAGGCAGGTCCCACTAAAGCCTCCTCCCCCAGAACTTAGGTAAAAAAAAAAAAAAAAAAAAAAAAAAAAAATTCTCATCAAACTCAATGTTTCTTCTGAATGTTTCCACCCGATTCCTGATTTGTGATCCCAAAACAAAATCAATTTGCCCTCATCACACCTCTCCAGCGGAGGCAACTCCTGCTGTAGAAGCAGAGCAAGCGAGGCACAGGGTATTTTAACACACATGCTCAGGGTCACGCAAGAAATCAGCCACATAAGCAAAACGAGCCCAGTGTTTCTGGCTCCCAGCTCTGGGCTGTGCCAGCTATTGCTTTCTCTTGCATATAAATCACTTTTCCCCACCAGTGAAGGACAGCTGGTCACTGAATGGAAAGTGGCAGTTGTTCAGCAGCCCACAGCAACACTGCACACCAGCTTGGGGTGGGAAGTGGAGAACACTCAGCGTGCAGAGGAGACTGCCAGGGGATCTGGGCCAGCTGAATAGAGACAAAGCAGCTGGAATCCAGCCAGAGCAAAGCCCAGTGCTCCTGCAAAATCAAGGCAAGTTAAAAACCCCACAGGAGAAAGCATCTCCCTTGCGTTTGCCAGCAGAGCAGGTATGTCTGGCACAGCTCTGCAGGTCAGCTCCAGGCAGCAGAGCAGGAGTCCCTTCTTGTCCACTGCTGCTGTGGACAGTGGTCATGATGAGAGCCACCAAGTAGCTCTTACAGCGTGACCACAGCTGCTGAGCACCACTGCTGACCTAACCCAGCCAGCCCCTTCCACCTACAGGTCTTGGCAAGCAGAGACATGTAGTTTTAACCAGTCCCCAAAGCAAACATTAGAGGTGGCCTTGAATCTAAACCTTTACCACCAGTTTCAAGGTTTGGAGGGACAGATAAATCCCCAGGGCTGGATTTATCTCTGATCTTTGTTCCAGGACAGAGAGATCTTTTACTATAGGCACCATATCAGTACACAGATTTTTCTCTCCTGTTATTGTAGACCAAGCATATCATGTCTTATCATGCTTAAAAGCTGGTCTGATTTAACTGCTGGTGTGGCAAAACCAGCAGAAAAATCCCTTCCCCTGGAAAACCTGGGCTAGCAGAGAGCTCTAATCCCACCAGGTAATGCCAACCAAGCTGACTTGTGCTGAAATCTCTCACAAAGCACCCCCACAAGCAGCTCTGCTAGCAGGCTGAGGATACCAAAATCTTCAAGTGACTGGACTGAAGGCAAAACCCTGTGGGTTAACCTGCCATAGCAGAAGAGGGCCTATTACAGCCTCATTCTGTTCCACCCACCAAAAAAAAAAAGAAAAAAAGCACAGCATGATGGAAGCTTACACCAGTACAACTGGTACAAGGTCTTCTATACTTCTATACTAATTAAACTGCTTTTATACTAATTTCACTGACATAGCCGACAAACAAAAACACATCCACAAACTGAAAGTCAAACCAGCAATGCTCACGGGTACTTTTACAAGAGAGGGGGATTTCTCTTTGTAAATCTCAGCAGGGATAGGGAACTGAAGAAACAGAGAGAGGATGAAAAAGCAAGTAACTCCAAAATATTTCTGTTCGTTTAGATTTCAGCCAGCTTGGCAAGCTCTTTCATGATGTTTGAACACAACAGAACCTGAGTCACTAGCCTTAATTCAGCTTCAGGCCTTCCGTGCTTCTGATCCCAATCCAAGTACTACTTTCACAAGACCACTATCAAACCTTGGCCCTGGCTACTCCATCCAGATGAAAGATACTGTCAGCTGCCTTGTCTTCTCTGGTAGGGGCAGTGTTATGGCCTGTCTAAACAAATAGCTGATAGTTCCTAGAGATATATACATAGTTGAAGCTGTAGCTTTAGACGTGTCCCAACTACTTTCGGTTGTAAAACATGATGGACCTGAGACAGTGTCATATTGTTAGATATGCTTCACTTCCCCTGCCAGTTCTGGTAAAGACTTTTTCCTAAGAGTAAGAAAAATATTTGCCCTAAGGTAAAGCAAGATTTTGCTCTTAAGGAACTAGATTTTATTTTGTACCAGCTGGGATTCAGCCACCTGTAGGAAGTACAAACAGCATCTTTCTTCTTTGAAAGTAGTGGAAGGAAAGAAACACATCTGAAACATTGTAGTGGAAAAAAAAACCCTATGTTTGAAGTTGCAGGAATGGACAGTAGCACCTGTGGGTTGCTACAAAGCATTTTGGGTGAATCAAAGCAAGTTTCATTTTCACCAGTTAAGAAAGAACAGCAAAATTACTCTTGAGGCTGAAGGGATTTTACCCAAGTTCAGTAGTTATTAGAGGCAACTGGAGAGCAACCTAGGAGATGGAAGAGTCTCCTTACCTTACAGCAGTTGTGGAGGACACGGAAGAGTGGCTCATTTAATGCCGCAGCCTTTCCTTCCCTCCCCCCTACTGCACCTGCACTTCAAGAGCAAATCGAAACCAGTCTATTCTAAACCATGGTCTCATTTATTTTGAGGGACCCAAAGCGAGAGCGAGGCTGAGACAGCATAACCAACAGAGAAACTTGTTTCTCAGCACGATTGCCCCCTCTCTGATGGCAAAGTCCTGGCTAGTATTTTCAGGATCACAAAGCTAGCTGAAAGTAGGGCATGCCCATTAAGCATCCAGTCCTTCTTAAACGGCCATGAGTTTGCACGTCTTTCTCCCTTGGGTTTTAGCCAGAGTCCAGCCCTTTTGGGCACCATAACACAGCTGAATGGTTTAGCTCCTTTTGTTCCAACTGACAAACAACCTAGCCCTCCCTTGCCTGCAACAATACAACTGGAGCTAGGATTTGTGTGTCCTCTGAGCAAGGATACAGGCTTTGTGCCTTGCTGAGCTGTCTTTGCAAGGACTGCCAACACTCACAGCTGATTAAGCCTGCAGTGCTGCTTTCTGCTTTTTCCTCCTCAGACAGATGTCAGAAACAAGCTAAGCGAAACAGCACACACAGATAGAGCTCTGCACCTAGGAACATTAAAGCAGACTTTTAGGGATTAAATAAATTAAACCAGAGGGGAGTTTAACACATTCTCTCTAGGCTTCATTTTTACCTGGCATGCAATTCTGGGTAAGAAACATCCCAGCGGTTCAAGAGACACTGTATTCTGGAAGGTGGCTCAACTCAATATACAGGAAGGACTATATTTGGAAAGCTTTTGCCACCACCACGTGGCTGAAACCGTGGCTGCAGCCCACCAGCTAACTGGAAGCTCAAACTGCCAGCAAGGACCAGCCTCACTGCTAGGGCAAACCAGGGCAAGCATTCAGAAGTTTTAGAGCCTGTGACACATACTTAAACAAAGAACATGCAACTAATTATCAAATATTTTATATTTTATTAACTTAGAATTCCAAAACACACTACTGACTTGTAGTGAGAATAAGGCATAAACTACTGCTGATAAGAACCTGTTAAGGGATTATACACCGCATATGCCCAACTTGCAAGAGACATGTGTTTTCTATACATTGCTGTAGTCCAGGCTGCTCTATTTCATCTCTGGTCAGCTCCAGAGCCTGGGTTACTAGGGTTATCCTGGGCTTGATAGATGGAACCTTTTTCTTTAAAGATCTAAAATAAGGCTAAAGTGCTAGATTATCTTCTTTAGCAGGTATCACGCATGGAAATACTGAGCCCTTCACTGGGAAGATGCTCACACAGCTGGATCATTAACTGCCAACTGCAGTCTATCTAGAAGCTGCAGGACAGCCTTCCCCATTATTCTCTTAGTGGGGAAACAAAACCTGGCAGCAAGGTATCACCAAGGTGCTGTATTTCAACTGAAAGGAAGCAGGAGCCTTCTGCCTCTTCTCTAGTACTCTGGGGACAATGAAATTAGGATGCTCAACTATGACATGCGGCATTTGGGACTGTGGCCTGTTCTTCCAATATTCTCTCAGTAAAACACATAGTTCCTGGCCACTAGCTCAGTGGGTGAAACTCAAACTTGACCATGAAATGGGATTCAGATGTGACAATGGGTAGGAATCCCCAGTTCAAACTGACACACACACCACCCCCCCAGGACCTAAACATTACCCATTGAACAGGAATGAAGCTTTTCTTGATAAGATTAGCAGATAGGAACAGCTCTGGACAAGTGGTCATGACAAATCAGGCAAAAAAGCTTCCCAGTGTGATTCCAACTGCCGCAGCTTGAATGCCTGAAGTGAAAAAAACCTGATGAACATGGCTGAATTCTCACAATGAGAAGCTAGTAATTAGCAGAGCTGCTCATCAGTGAGCCAAAGTACAAGGCAGAAACTCCTGGTACGAGACCAGCACAGATCTCTAGCATCCGGAGTAGTCGCTGAGCAGTGGCAACTCGTATCCCTTCCAACTGGAAACAAAATGGAGAAATGATTTAATCAATAGGAAAGAAGAAAAATCAGTACTAAGCTGTGATAAAAGAAAGAACTGGAGCACGCATGAAGTATGGGTTAGAGTGGCTAGCTACAGAAAACGCCAGAGGCCCATTTATTCCCCTAATGTTAGGGAAGGTACAATGTTGTCAGCTGAAACCTCTGAAGAGGTTGCCAAAGGCACAGATACTACCTGCTGGTAGGGAGGCAGTCTCTGAGGGTGGAATGATGAGTACAAGGTAAAATGAAGTGCACTGCTGCCGAATACCAAACTCTCCCTCCAGGTTTTTAGAGCAAACAGGTAATTGGAAAGAGGGGAATATCAGATGGCAAAACAGTCTGTGAAGCAACAAAGCCTGGCTAACAGGATGTATTATGTGGGCAAGAGTCACGTGGTAAATAACAGCTCAGGGGCTCCCAGGAAAAGAAAATGCCTCGAGAAACAAGTGTACCAAGGCTTTGCATATCAGAGAGGTCTTTGTTAATTTAGGCTTGGCTTCCTGAGGCTTTGAAGTAGCACAGGAAGGAGCAGGTAATCTAGAAGACTCATTTCAAGGACAGTCAGACTCCTGTACTTCTACTGTTCTTGTAGAAGCAGTCTGGTCTCTGACACTTATGCAAGACAGTAGTGTACGTGCATATATTTACTGGTAACGTAATGATGTTCCTAAGGATCAGAGAGCAGTGGAATTCACAGATCCCTTCAGATACCCAAGAAGCACCTTACCTCCAGCTCACAGAACAGCATAGGACTGGAATAGGTTTCTTGCAGTTTCCAGATGGAATTCATCTCCACGCTGCAGTGGTTCACCCTGCCAACTACAAAAAAAGTTTTCTCACGTTACAAGCCTCATAATCAACATTCAATGAAGAAAAATGCCAAGAAATTCCACATCCACAAAAAGATCCAGAGCTAATTTTGAAAACACCATAGAAGGTAAGGCAACAGTGAGCAGTATAAACAGAATGGTACAAGATTCACAACAGAATTAACACAAAAGTCTTTCATAATACTGACAGCAGGAATAGTATTGCCACATTACTGAATACTGTAACATTACCATTTTGGATAAGGGATCAGCACACTATCAGCACAGGCAGAATCTCCCACTCACTAATCAGAAACCCTCCTGGCTTGTGGTACCACAGGGTGGTCATGTCTCTGAGGAATTCACTTGGTCAGGAGAGCCATAGCACAAGACAATGCTAAGACTCCTTCCCACCCCAGAATTAGGCCCCCTGACCCCCGAATTCCAGGGACACAGCACCTCTGTTCCAACACTGAGCAGTACTGTCTGGCCCCTCTACTCTTCAGAGCTGAAGTAGAGAGGGTATGCGGGAAAGCACCCTCTCTGCCCAAGGCAGGCAGGGAGAAAGAAAAAGATTAGAGGCACACCAGGGCCAGACAGTACACAGCAGGAATACCAGTCTTGTATTAAAACTATACTTAATAGTTCAGTAGCTCATCCATTTAGATTCACTTTATTACCACAGTATCATATGCTTCTCACTGCTCATTAAGATTATCATTAAGACAGATCTGCAAGAGCAGATAGAACAGACTTCTGCAGTGCCACAGGGAAAAAAAAAAAAAAAAAAATCAATAACACAAATCATATTCAGGGATTAGGGGCAGAGAAGAGCGGTCTGACTGACAAAAACAAAAAGGAGAAAGCAAATGAGCATGAGAAAAGAGAACAGTGTTTTTTATCTATGAAAACAAAAAAAGGTAGATTAGCTCAGATGTAATTTAAACAAAGCTTTTGACAAAGCCACTGGTTTCCTTTGTTTTGTTTCTAGTTAAGTCACTGACCTGCTTTAAAGAAAGTAACAGTGAGTTGTGCTGCTCGGAGAGGACGAAGAAGACAGATGCCATACGTACCCCCAGTGACAAGAAAGCATACTTTTCCCAGGAAGAAGCTGATATCCACATGAGCTAGGGAAGCTTCGACGTTCTTCAAGCTGTCAGAAAAGCACAGACAATCCAGTTGGACAGGGAGGTAAAACCAGTGCAGCATAAGGACAAAGGGAATAACTTTCAGAAGCACAATTAGAAAACCAATGATGTTAACATCTGCTGATCTGTGAGCTGGCAAAGGTATGCTCTATGCTAAAAGCATGGCATCAGGGACCTCTCGAATACCCACAGCTGTTTAAAAATCCATAACATATCTTTTGTGCCCAAGACTCAACAGTTAGATGTGGTTTGAACAGTGTCCTCCATGATTTGCAGACACTAAGCATCTGAATTCATTAATATCCAACAAGATTTCAGCACTACTTTGGGTCTTTTAGAAGAGCTAGCCCACACAATCCTGCAGTACCATCTGTGCTGTAAGTATGCAGCTGGGCCTGTCATTTTTGGTAAATGAGAGCCCAGGAACATCAGTCACAAGTTAAGTAATAGGATGCTGATTTTTGTGCCTTAGCAAGTCTTTACTTATGGCCTGGGGACACAAATATCGTTTCTACAAAAATGAGCACAAGATGAGAGAAAAGGGACCAATTCCTACCGCCTTTTCTTTTTTGCCTAGAGACATCTACAGTGCTGATCCCACCTGTCCAGCAGTATCAGTGAAGGGGGGACACAGACAGAGCAACCGGCTGGTTACTAGGTAGCACTGCCCAGTGTGCATCAGCCATCTGCATATTACAGAACTTAGCACCACCATCGTTTCCATCTAATTTTACAGACAGTGTCTTTCCAAAGCTCAGTTCAAATTATCCCGTCTCTGAATTCAGGAATAAATCCTGCCTTCTCTGCTATAGCAACTTAGTGCACAACAGGCATGTTATTGGACACAGTGGTTCAGTCCCAATCCATTGCTGGAGGCCAGAAAATCACTGCCTATATTACTGAGCTGTTCTACCACATCAAGTCTTGGGTTCGAAATCCACTATTCAGCAGTTCTGACATAGTAAAAAAATGTAGATTTGGCCATCAATCCAAGAAAAAAATATCAGTTTCCCTTCTCATGTTTTTGCCCTTCTTTTACCTGTATTTGCTCTTGATGTCAATCATAAACACAATCAGATCTATCCTGGGCCGAAGGTGATCCATCTCTGAAGATAAGGGGAGGGATGTAGCAAGGTGACTGAAAAATAATAAATTTGCCAGTTTAATCAAATAGCTTGACAAGGCAGTATCCACTTAACCGTAAGCACAAAGCCATTGCAGTTCACCATATAGCAAGTTACCAGGAAGCCCGTTAATTTCTAAATACGTAGGCACTGAAAAGACACTGTGATTCTTTAAGTGGTGCTCTCATGTCTTAGGCCTACTCATAGCTGCTGACAGCCACGATGATACTTGCTAGACAAGGTTGTTTATAATGGGAAGTTTATTAGAGCATAACAAGACTCACAGAAACATTTTCTCTGTGCAGATCTGTATGACAGTCATTTTATTTAATTGTTAAGAAGGGTCCTTTCTAACAAAGAAAACTCCAACGCTTTACTGGTATATTTTGCTGCCAAGTTTCTGTTAAAATGTGTCAGTGCTTTCTTGTCACATTCCAGAGATGCTGCTCATACACTCACACAGGAGAGGCTACCTTCTCAGGTGTCCGTGTTACAGAAAGGGGTGTTGTATTTGCAAAATCTTAAACCAGAAATTTATCACTATTATAGCTTTATAGATGAAGTTATAACTCAGAAAGAGCTTCTATTATGCCATTACTCTCTTTTTTATCCCTTTCACTGTGTCAGGACTAGGTTAGTTTAGGTGTCCTTCTACACAATACCACCAGTGCTGATAGAGCTGTTGGCAGAATTACAAAGTGGGGATTTTTTGTGTCTTTTCCCACTACAAGAAAAAAAAAAAATAAATAAAGCTTCAGTAGTGCATATCTGGGCCTTCCACATGGAATAATATTATCAGCACTGTATTTTTGGATGATCACCTGAAAGACAGACTGGACAAACAAAAAATCCCAGTATTTCAGTCTCACAATCTACTTCCTCTCTGGAAGCCAAGAAAGAAACAGGACTTAACAGTTTTCCCCAGCAGCCGCAGACCATGGCACACATTCCCTTCTATTAATCATATGCAGTTTGTAGTTTTGCCTGCCATTTTCCAAATAAAGGTGTTTTGTTTCCTATAAACAAGGAAGGTATGATTTAACAAAATCATTCTGAAACTAACACAAAATATGAGCAAGGTGCACTTGAAAGACACATCGCAACACAAACAAGCTCATAAATTTAAAGTGAAATTTAGGGAGAAGCTGTGGTGAAAGGAAAGTATCAGATCTCATTGCCTGGGAGGGGAGAAACTACCCAAAAAAGGCCTCCATGATTTTGAATTCTACTATATTTAAGCCAGCATCTCAAGATGATGTCATCAGCCTCCAAATATGTACTGCAGAAGCCGTTTTTTTTTCCTGGTGGTAAAAACCACAAAAACCCAAGCTCTCCAATTCTTCTCCCAGCAGCTATATGTCAGGTAGACTTGTCAGACAAGATACCATATTGCTTTGTGATGTGCATAATCCCAAAGCAACACAGAGGGGAAAAAAACTGTCACGGACTTCTGCTTCCCTAGTGATACTAGCGCAGGGATGTATCTTGCTCTGTAGTATGAGCCTAACTTTCCACGCCTTTGGGTAGTTACCCAGATGTAGTACCAGTAGTCATTTAGTTATGGTACCCCACAGCTCAGCAGAGGCTACAGGATTTGCATAGAAAATCAGGCAATTAATTTACTATTAGTTAGCACAAACATCCAAGATGCCATGATCAGAGCTGTGCAGTTACTCTAACCGGCTAATAGAATTAGCTCAGGTTTGCCTTTACTGCATAGCCTTGGATTATAGCAGTGAAATAACACAAACATCTTCTGAAGAGCTGACTAAACTCATTTGGTCTTGGCAAGAGAGCTGTCAAAGACATTATATTGTAAAAAGTTAATCAAGCTTTTAAGAAGGGACTTGTCATGCAGCTAAAGTTAAAATTCCAAATGCATCTTAATAGCTTGAGGAAGAAAAGCACGTGTATGCATACAAACAAGAAAACGGCTATGAAGAGCACCAAAAGTAATGGACATCTTTCAGTAAAACTTGCTTTGTTTCAAGGAATCGCAAGCATTGTACTTGTCCCATTTTGTCCCAGGATTTTAATTCCTGTATATGCCTGTCTCCCGGAAGAAAAAAAAATAGCAGTCTCTGCTCCTCTCATAGTCTTGCAATTTAGTAACCAAACATCTGTGCAACATCCAAAGGGCAATGTTATGTGCATAGCGAACACAGTATTGTAGAATCACAGAATGGTTTGGGTTGGAAGGGACCTTAAAGACCATCTAGTTCCAACCCCCCTGCCATGGGCAGGGACACCTTCCACCAGCCCAGGTTGCTCAAAGCCCCGTCCAACCTGGCCTTGAACCCTTCCAGGGAGGGGGCAGCCACAGCTTCTCTGGGCAACCAGTGCCACTGCCTCACCAGCCTCACGGTACAGAATTTATTCCTTATATCTAATCTAAATATACCCTCTTTCAGTTTAAATCTCTTACCCCTCGTCCTATTCCTACACTCCCTGATAAATAGTCTCTTCCCATCTTTCCTGTAGCCCCCCTTTAAGTACTGGAAGGCTGCTGTAAGGTCTCCCTGGAGCCTTTTCTTCTCCAGGCTGTTGCAGCCTGCCTTCATAGAAGAGGTGCTCCAGCCCCCGATCATCTTTGTGGCCTCCTTCGGACCTGCTCCAACAGGTCCATGTCCTCCTCATACTGGGGTTCCCAGAGCTAAATACAGTACTGCTGGTGGGGTCTCAAGAAAGCCGAGTAGAGGAGGAATGATGAATGTGAGAATTATATCCACTCCCATTTCTAATCATGCCCAAACTGCTTGCCCTGAAGACAAAGCAGTTTGCCTACTGCAAATGCCAGCCCCGTCTGGAAGCAGTGCCCTGCAGCGCTCGTAAGAGCAAGTTCTTCCTCTGAAACGAGAGCCCTGCAGTTCCAACTACCGCCACGTGGGTGGAAGCTGCATTTATAAGCAATTTCGGTGCGTGGAGCTCCGCGGCTGAAACTTCCCGTGCATTCGCATCACAGCCGCTGCTTTGGCTCCGTCTCCCCGAGGTGGCACACAGCCCCTGTACGGTCCCGCCAGGGGCCTTCGGCCGGGGCCGGGACCGCAGGCGGCGCGTCCCGCTCCCCGCCACTCACATATTGACCTTGAAGCTCTTTTTCTCTCGCAGCATCGCCTCCGCCAGCTTCTGCTGGATGCCTTCGTCCGAACCCACCAGCTGCGCGGACAGGAGGAGGGAAAAAGCAGAGTCAGAGGCCGCCTCGGAGCGGGCGCCCGGCCGCGGGCAGCCCCGGGGGCCGCGCCCCGTCACCGCGCCGGGGCCGCGCGCGGGCCGCCGCCGGGGGGCGGGGCCAGCCCCTCAGGCCGCGTTTGCATATCGCGGCCAAGCGGCCTATCCCCGCGGGGCCAGCACGGCCGCGGCCGCTGAGGCGCGGCCACCGCCCCCGAGGAAGCGCGGCCCGCGGCGGCAGGTGAGGGGCCAGGGCCAGGGCCGGGCCCCGGAACGGGGAACCGGCGGCGGGGACGGAGCGTGGAACGACGCGGCAGCGCCGGGCCTACCAGGAGGACGGCGGAGTTGAGCGCCGGCAGCTTACTGAAGGGTCGCAGCACCGCCATGTCCGCCCGCCGGGATTCGAACCGCCGCCACGCCCCGCGCCGACGTACCGCGTCGGGGGCGGGGCCTGAGGGGCGGGAGCTGAGAGGGCGGGGCTTCCGGCGCGCGTGCGCAGCGGGCGCGCCACGGAGCGGGGAGCGGGGGGGGCGGCCCGGCTGCCGTGGGGCAGCGCGGGTGGGGTGTCCGCGGGGCTCGGGTGGGCTGCCGGCGTTCAGGGAGCGCACGGCTTGACTAATCACTAGGAACCGCGCTACTCGTTTGCTGAGTCAGCAAAGCGGCTGTGTCCCTGTGGCACCCGGGGCCGGGCCGTGGGCGCTTATCGGCGGCACCAGGCGGTGCTCGAGGGTTTCGGAGGGGTGGGAGGGGAAGGGGGCTGGCCTCGCCTTGGCCGGCCAGGGGTATCCTGATACAGGGAGCCCTCAGCTCCCGGGAAGCAAAGTCCTTGTCTCCAGGGCTGGGCTGGCCTCCTGGTCCTTTAGTTTCTTTTAGTCCTGGTCCGTTAGTTTCCTCGAGCCTGAACAATACCGAAGGTTCCAGTAAAATTCCACTGCCTCCCAACGTCGTGGCCTATAATGTGAACGAATGCATGTCAACAAAGTTGTGGGAATCCAGCAGAAGATTGACGACGAGGATTGTAAACACGCTCAAGTGACTTGCAGTCGGGGTGTTGGAAAACACACGTATCGTACTAATTGCTGTTTAGCTTTGTGTGCTTGACAGGTAGAACGTCTGCATTTAGATAACACAAGCCTGTGATAGAGGACGTCCCTGAGATTCCTGCCTTGCTGCGGGAAAGATCAAAGCACAATGGAAAACCACACCTGCAAAAGCCCCTGATGTATACAGGTGAAAGCACCAGGTTCAAGATCTTTTCTTTCTTCTCCTGGCTAGCAAGGACCAAGTCCCACAGTGCCTGTGTTGTCCCTTGCATGCCTCTGCCTGGGTGCTGCTGCGGAGATGCCCTGGGTCGCAAGGCAATGAAAATAAATTTACTCTTTGCATTTCGTCTGTGGCTTTGTGGTTGTTCCTGCGTCCTGCCTGTGTCAGCTCACACAAAAGTTAATACACTTTCATACTATAAAGCCTGGATGTAACAGGGAATGGAATTTCCCTGGCAGCATACAGCAGCAGCGCCTGCCTTTGCATGCTGAACTGTTCTGCGTGAGGCTTTGCAGCAGCTCCAGCAGCCCAAACCTCCATCCCACCCCTTCCTGGGCACCTTCCCCCTCGCCCCCCGTGGCTGGCTGGCCACTGCCCAGCCCGATGCTCCCCTGCCAGTGGTACAGGCAGGAAGGAGCCCGTGCAGAACCACCGCACGGTTATGGATGTAGGCTGAGCTTTTCTCACTCAAGGTCAGGGTGGGAGGACGGTATGCAGTGATGTAAAGCCCTCAGAGGTTCCAGTGTCCCTTGGGGGCCTATGGTCCACCTTGCTGAATCTTTTGCTTCTTGCCTTGTCCCTGGGTTCAGCTCCAGCTTGGTGTGGAGGGGGATCCAGGACCCCCTCAGCTGCCTGCTGGGGCTGGCTCTCCCTGCCCCTTCAACCAGGGCACCTCCAAATGGCAGGAGACATGCCGGGGAGGGGAAGAAGGCTGCAGGAGAATGAAGACACGTCTCCCCCTGCGTGGCAAACAGGAGAGGGGAGGTGGAGGGGAGAGAGGAGGAGTTTAATGTAATCTGACATCACATGGCTGCCGTAGCTTTTTTGATCTTGACAAAGGCAGACTGTTCCGCTCATTGCCAGCATGAGACAAATTACAGGTGAAGCAGAAGAGATTATAGGATATTTCTGGTTGTTGTCGAGTTCAGTGGGGGGAAGGGAGGACGAATCCAGGGCAGACGTGTCCTAAAGATGGGAGGCAGGCTGATGTGATGAATAACAAGAGCCAGCTCCCGGGTTGGAGGGCATAGAGACCAATTTGGACAACACTGCTTTTGGGCTGCTGAGAGTGTAGAAATATGCTAAAAGCTGCAGCACCCACCTAAAAGGTATTTCTCCTCTTTCATCCCCCTGCTACTCCCCATTGCCTGCAGAAGGACCTGGGTGGCTTCACTGTCCAGTCAGGGCCATGCTCGCTGTCCCCTCTGTTGCTGCAGGCTTCTGGTGACACTGGTGCCTGTTGAGGTTCAGTGTGTCCAGATAAGCTACCGCTGATCCCACAGTTATTTTCCCTTCTCCCCAGCAGGTTTCTTGGCCATCCCTTGGCAAACTTCCCTCTGCAGGGCTGCACCCCCCTGCCCCCTTCCCGTGGGGACACAGAGATTTGCCTTGCTTCTTCCTCTGCGTGCCCCACCTTCACTGCTCCCTTTCACTGGGGGCACACCTCCCCCTTAGCCCCCTACTAACAAAGGACCCTTGGGTGCATGGCCCACCTGAGGGTGACTCGGAGGGGTGCAATGGTAGTGCCGATGGTCCCTGCCTAAAAGTTCAGGCTTTGGCACAGCCAATTTCTTCCTGGGGTGTAAAGCCGTTCCCTGACAGCTGGCATGGCGAGCTGCGCCAGGAAGATTCATTTTGCTTTCCTTCCTCTTTGAAATGCAGGCAGGGATGCTCTGCGGGGGGATGCAAAGCGTGCGGAGCCAGCTCTCCATGGGGAACCAGGAGGGAGAACAGGAGTCATCATCCTGCACCCTCGTTGGGTACTTACCCATGGGCCAAAGGTTGTAAAACAGATCTAATGTCAAAGGGTAGCATTTAAAAACTGTTCTTCATGGGAGATGATGGCATAAGGAGGTGGAGATTCGGACTGGCAATGTGCCTGCAGCTCTTGTCTAGATCTGTAGCTCGGCAAGGAGAGGAGGGGAGAGGGATGAGACACAGTTGGTGTTGGAGGCTGGGGTATATTTTACATATCACTGTGTGATTATGTCAGGCTGTTTCACCTCTCTCCACCCAGTTTCCAGTTTGCAGAGCTGAAATAATGAGTCAATCTCTGCTTCTGAGTGGTGCAGGTAACCTGAAGCAGGGGTGTCGGTGCACTGGCCACCAGTGCAGGCAGAAGGGGAGAGAGCAGGGCATGATACAGAAGGGGAAAGCTCCTGATATTACTCTGTGGATCATTGTACATTGATCTGGTAGGACAAACCATTCAAACAATTAGTAGAAGTGTAATATAGCCCCATGCAAAGATGCTCTGGTGCTGCCAATTAAGGCAATTAGCATCAGCAAGACTTGGCCTGGCCATCACCAGTGCTCCCAGGAAATGGTGCAGTTGTTCCTACAGCAGGACAGCATCAGCCGTGACAAAAAATACTGTAAAATACTGTAGAACACATATTTCCCTCAGATATCCTTGGCCAATTTGCTATGTGCTTCATCCAGCAGGTTGGTGACTGATCCTTAGGACGTTTTCTCTCAGACTTCTCTCTTGGTTCTCCCTGAACAGCCAGAGGAGCGATGGAGACAGGCTTTGGAAATGGTCTCAGGAGCAGCACTGATGCCAGCATGGTCCCAGTTGTCTCAGCACCTACTCCCAGTCCTTTGGGCAGTGGTGGCTTCATCCCAGCCCTGTTCAACACGAATTTTGTAAGATGTCTCCTGGCCATGCGTTGCTGGCTCTGGGCTGAGCGCTTGCAGTGCTGACTGGGAAGCACACAGAATACAAACTCATGTGTATTTGATTGTGCTTGTTCTCTCACTAACAGACAAAAATGATATCATTTGCAGCAAGAGCAAATTATTAGGGAAATTAATGACATTTCCACATATGTTGCTGGCAACTTCAACTTCCTTTGGCAAAGGCTCTCTCCAGCTATTGTTAGACTCAGAGTAAGGCAGCTCTTTCCATTCTGCTCTTTAATTGAACTCACCATACACATTTCCTTAGCTTTTTGGTCAATTCAGCAAAACTTCTTAAATGAATTTCCCTATTTGAAGCTGCAATAGCACTCAGAAGGCAGGTTACTCTGCTTTCCCACCAGAGTATCCAACTGATGTCCTGCCATACATCCAGGGTGCCTTCTGCATCCTGCAGCAACTCCCTCACCTCCAGCAGCTGATCAGGAAAGTGTTCTGTGACTCTTGCTGGAGTTTTGTCCTCTACTGTGGACCTTGGGAGAGGCTAGTTTGATGAAGTCCATCTTCTCCCATGCCTCTACCTGCCTTGGGAGAGTAGTATTTGGGGGATTGGTATTGCCTTAAAGACAGGCTGAGATTTGTGTCTGATCATCTCAGAAGATGCCAATGAAAGCCTAAAGGACACTAAAGAAGTGAGGAAACTTGCCGGGAAAAACTGGAATAACCCTTAATCAGCTCTGGGATTAAGCTGAGCTCAGTACGTCGTTCATGCTGTGATTTATGGGCATGTTACAAGCAGGAAGTGTGTGCCCAAGGTTGCCCAAACATCTCTTTATCCAGCCAGGACTTTTGTCTCAGAAGGGTTTTGTGATTTCTGCGTTGGCTGGGTGGCCCTCTCACATCAAACCTGACCCTGCACTCGCCTTCATCATGCAGGTGAATTTGTGGCTGCCCAGAGATAGAGTGGGAATTGGAGGCTTATTGGGCAGGTATCCTAGGGTGAATGGCTCTGGGGGCTCGTGTGTGCACAGCCACTCAGGGGCTTCCTCCAAGCCAGGTGGAAGGGGCTGGAAGCCCCCCAAGTGCCGGTCAGGATGACATGCACGTGCTTAGTCCTGGAAGATGCTGAGTGGCACGTGGCAGCCTTATTCATAGTGAAAGCTGAACTGCAGCTGAAGCATTTCCATGTGGTTCGAGCTGTACGCGGCACATTGATGCCTGGAGCTGTCTCAACACCGCAGCTCTTGTCGGAAGCCAAAGGATGTGACAGCACCTGAGATCCCCGTCACAGGCAGCAAGCAGCTGCCACGGCGTCAGAGGTCACCACGGGGCGGGAGGTCTGTGAGTACGTCCCAGCATCGGCAGCACGAAGCCCGATCCTCATTTCTCACTGCCTCCAAGGGTGTTTCAAACTCAGGTGGGGAGGTTTCTGCGTGAAGCAAGCAAGGTTGCCACCATGTCATGACTTACACAAACCCACTGGTGCAGTGGTGGCTGCAGAACAAGAGTGATCCCTGCTCCTCCCTGTGCCCTCCCAGTGTTT